GCTCAGAAAACATCAGTGTGGAACACTTCATACATCACTCATTCAACCAAACCCTCTCTGCTGTGGTGTGTACCTAGCGGGGTGGCTTAGTTTCCTTCTGCCATAATAATCCCATCCCACAGGCCTGATGTTGCTGAGGTGCTGTCACCCGTCACCCCCAGGGTCTGGAGGCCATGATAAGGGTTTCTTATGTGTGAGCCCTGAATATCTTCTTAAGAGTTCTCCTGGGGTGTCCCTATCACTGCCTCAGGATAGGGCCTGGCATCTAACATGGGGTCACCTCTCCTCTTAGGGCAGCATCATGTTAATTACCAGATGTTGAAATTCATCAGCACACATTTGTGGAAATTTGCTTAGTGCCTAATCTCTTCTGTTTTGCCTTTGGGGCCCATAACTCCTGACATATTTACCATCTGGCCCTTCATGGGAAAATCTTCAACTGTCTGAAGCCAGAGCAAGAAGGTAAAGTAGGAATTCTGAAGATGAGTGGGGGGCTGTGGGGCCCAAAAGACCCAATGCAAGGGTGCAGTGGCTTCCAGGAGGAGCAAGGCATGGGGGCCCTGGGGTGACCAGGAAGGTAGGGACTTTGGCAGGGCCTCGTGTTTGGTGGGCTTGGTCCCCACACTGCCTGGGGACAGCCAGGCCATCAGGTTCAGCCCAGCCTTCCCCTCGGCCCTGGTCTCTGGTGCAAATAGGGAGGAGGTGCAGAGAGTACAGTGCTGGGGAGGGTGGCAGTCTCACCAGCAATGTGTCACTTCCTTCCCCAGTACTTCCCCTCCTGCTGGGGCAGTTCTGGAATGCTCTGAGTAATGTTCCAATCAATATCTGCCTACAGCACTAGACTCCAGCGCCTCGTGGGCAGGGATGGGTCTGCTCTCCGGGGTACCTGCACTCTCAAGCACACGGTCAAGCTCCATCAGGACTTGTTAAGAACCAGTGAAGGAATTGATGAATGAGGAGATGAACACTCCACTCCCACCCAATGCCCGACTTTCCTTGTGCAAAATAGATGTTAAGAAAATATTTGCTGAGAAAATAAAATTTGGACTCTGTGTACACTTTCTAGCTCAGGTGAGCACCCTCAGTGCCTCGAGGGCATCAGACGGGGCTGAGCCTGGCAGGCAGGACAGTCCAGCTCTGACATGACTCTGGTCTCAAGGCACTCTCCTGCAGCAGCTCCCAAAGCCAGCCCCAAAGCCTGCCTTCAAGTTCCTACTGCCCATGCCAGCAGGAGTCTGGGCTCAGTGAGCCTAGTGGCAGAACAAGGTCATGTTTACTCCCCTTTGTTTCCCCCTAGAAGCCCCACTCACCACCTAGACCCTTGATGGGAAGGTGCACAGATGGCCCAGATAACCCCAGAAAGCACTACCCTTCCCTGAGGGCATTTGTAATGGGGCTGATGGAAAAGAAAGAGGTCCTGACCCTCAGAAAGCAGACAGGCTGCCGGGGACAGGGACCCTGGGAGCCAAAGGTACAGTGCAGCACTGTGATCATAAACATTGATTTTAAAGATAAAAAGTAAAAAGTCTGAGTTAACATTGTGTTCTTTCTCTCAGGATATCTGAGCTGTGTGACCTCAGGCAGGTATGCAGCCTCTCTGACCCTCAGTTTACACTCGTTAACACTGACAGTCACTCATAAACATGACAGACCTGGGGCTGCAAAAAAGGCCAATGGCATCCCCAATGTTATGGATGGCTTTCTCAGGCCCTCTGCGAGGGACCAGGCCTCAAGTCCAGCTCATCTGACTCCAGACTCAAGACTTCTCCTGTTCCCACACAGTCAGGGCTTCTCTTGTACCCACAGTAGGTGCAGATCAGATTGTCCCTTTTGTGGGAAAAATCGGTTGGAGAAGGATAGCTCATCACTCAGCAGATGGGCAGGGTGAGGAAGGAGCCGGGGACACCCCGTCCACTCCTTGGCCTCAGCCCTTCTCTGCCCTGTTGGGAAGGGACTCCTCAGAGAGCTGAGCATTGGGCCCGCCATCACCCTCCTGGGCAGCCTGGGGAGGTCATCATGAGACTCGGGGTGGCCCATCCAATTCCATACCTGATAGGGACCTGACTTGGAAGGGGCCTTTCAGAGCACACAGAGCTGTAGGTGCAAGAACCCTGCAGGAACCCAGCCTCCCCATGCTACGGGCCAGAGGAGCTCTCCACTGTCTGAGAGGAGGACTCACATAGTTGCATTGTGCCTCAGACACCTTGCCAGGGCCCACGGGATGGTTAGCAGATGCTGCCAGTGTGGAATGGACTCAGTCCCCTCCTTGCTTAGCCATAGGCTCAACAAGGAGAGACACAGGTGCAGGGCTGAGCTGGATCCTGGTGCCCTGGACAAGAGGGCAAGCAGTGACAGAGGATGCCCTATAGCCCCTCCCAGCCCATCTCACTGTGGCTGCCTGAGATTCTACCACTTCTGCCTTTGTGCTCAGACCTAATACCACATTGACTTTTGGGGACAGCCACCTGTGCAGCCCAAGGCTCCCTGGACAGCCTGTGGCATCCAGCCTTCTGCCCCAGACCTGACCAGGTGTGGCAGTGCAGAGGAAGATATGGAGAGGGGCCGGGGGCCGGCCTGAGTGGAGGAGACTGGAGACAAGCCCTGGCTGATAGGGGCAGAGGCCATGGAGGGGAGTCCAGCCAGCACCCTGGTGAGGCTGGAGATCAGCCTTCTAAGACATGAAGCTGGAGGCCACGAGGTCACCAGCCCCTGAAACATTCTAATTTTGTGACTTTCACAAGCTGCCAGGCAGCACCACAACCTCAATCCTGGCCTTAGAAACTCGAGACCATCTAAGTGGCCAGGCTCTGGGGGACCCAACAAAGTAACTTCACAAAAATTGTTTTAAGTAAAAGAAAACTTGTAAACACTCGAAAACTACTTCTGCCCAGAGCTGGACAAATAGTCTCGTCTTGAATGGGAAGTGGAAGTGGCCGAGGCCACTGTTGGAAACCAGGTGGTGATGGTGGGAGATTCAAGGCCACGTGAACTCAGGAGGGGTCATGGCCTCACCTCATCTCCCCCTGGCCCACTTACACTGGAGACGGGGCCCTGCCTGGGCAGGAAGATCACACCTCCCAGAATAGACGCGTCTAGAAGCTCAGCCACCTGCCCACACAGACCTGCTTGGGGCCTGGTACAGGGAGCTGCAGGGGAGCAGCCAGTGGGGGCCCTCCCCACCCCTACATGGGACACAGGTCACCAGGCCACCCTCCTGTGGTCAGCTGAATAATGGCCTCTGAACATGTCCACAATGAAAACCCCAGAACCTGTAAATATGTTCCCTTTCCTGGCAAAAGGGACTTTGTAGATGTGACCTTAATATGGAAATGACCCTGAATTACCTGGTGGGCCTAGTGTCACCACCAGGGTCCTTACAGGAAGCAGGAGGGTGAGTCAGAGGTTTGAAAGTGCCACACTGAGAAGGTGCAGGGAAGAACCATGAGCCCTGAAAGCAGAGGGCCTGCAGAGACCGGCGGAGGTGAGGAACCATCTCTCCTTGAGCTTCCAGGAAGAACAGGCCCCACTCACACCCTGACTTTAGCCCAGAAAGACTGATTTCAAGCCTCTGACCTCTAGGACTGTAAGATAATGGACTTGGGTAGATTGTGAGAGCAACTGCTGCCAGGCACTGAGTCCCCAGGGCCAACTCCTCTGCCTCAGCTTCCAATGCCTCTGCCGGGAACTTGCCAGGCCAAGTTCTGGGGAAACCACATTCATCAAAGCCAGGTGTCTTCAAACTACGGCCCGCGGGCCACATGCAGCCTGCCTAGGACATTTATCTGGCCCACCACGTGTTTTTGCCGTCACTGCCTGTGCTTAGCAGCCAACTCGTCCAGGGACCCACAGTCTGGCCCTCCAGCGGTCTGAGGGACAGTGAACTGGCCCCGTTTAAAAAGTTTGAGGACCCCTGAAAAGCCATATCTTCCCACCAGTCTCCACAAATCTGCCTCACCCACAGGCAGAAGGGCTGCCCAGAAGGGAGATCCTCAGAGTGAGAGGATATCCTGCCCACATGCAGCCCCTCCCGACACCTGGAACTTCGTGCCCCCATCACCAACTGCTCTGTCTCCCCCACGTCGTGGGGGAGGTCTGTGCTTGCTCCTCCAGTCTCTCCCTGAGGGCTGGCTCCTCCGTGGGGGGTGGGCAGCCACATGGCACAAGGTTTCAGAGGGTCTCCAGGGAGTGGGAGTCATGTCCACAATGCACCCCATGGACAAGCCCCCGCCCCCCTCTTCTATACGGGCACATTACCCATGGAACAAAGCCAATCCTGGCCCTGTCATGGGGTGGTGGGGTCTCTCCACTTCCAGGCCTGGAAACCCCCCAACACACTCCTGTGGGACATAGTGCTGGGGAGAGGGGTTCATCCAGGAGGTTCGTCCCAGGACTGGGGGGACAGAGCCAAGTCCACACTGTACCTAGGATGGCCCAGGCATCTAGAACCCCAAGCCTGAGACAACCCCTGACTTCTGTCCTCCCCAAACTCGTATGTTGAGTTCCCAACCCCTAGCACCCAGCCTGTGACTGTGTTTGCAGAGGGGGCATAGAGGTCAGCAGGGTGCCGGAGGGCAAGAGGCACAGGGGTGTGTGTGTGCACAGCGGGGTGGCCACATGATGACACAGGGCAAGGATGGCCATCAGCCAGCCAAGGAGTAAGGTCCCTGCTGCAAACAATCCTGCTAGCACCTTCATCTCGGACCTCTGACCTCCAGAATTAAGAAAACACACTTCCACTGCCGAGCCACCTGGTCCATGGTACCTCATCATGGCACCCCAGCTGACCATGCACCATCTCCCTCAGGCTTGCACAGAGCGCCTAGGGATGGCTCTGCTCTTGAGTTTCCTTCTGCCTATTATTCTCATGATCACAGCTCATCTCTCTTGGGTCGCCATGTCATTAAGTCCCCTTCTACGGTGTGTGCACGACGCACAACAGGTCAGACACGAGACAGCTGCCGTGGCTCACTCATGCACACACTCTGTAGGTACAAGCCACGTGGGTCCATCTTTAATTATGTTAAATATTAATAAAAATACAGTGTAACTGCAATTCACTTAACATACACAACTAAGGGAGTACAATTTAATATGATCTGATACACAGCTTTTGAGAACACACATTATTTCAATACCAGGTGGTGAGAAATGCTCCATTTGCTTTGGTTTTGAATGACAGGCTCAAGAATCACTGCTTGGAACAACACCTGTGCTGTCACCAAGAGCCAGACCTTGAATAAGAGAGAGCAAAGGCCACAAGCGTGCCCTCTGGAGAAAGGCCCTTGAGAGGAAAATGGCGTCTGGATGGCATCGATTGGCATAAAGGATGGGCCTGTGTATATAAAAAAGATCCACATAATAAACCAAATAATATTGGAAGTCATACCTCGGTCATACTTCTGTAAGAAGCAGAATTACACTACATGTTGTCCACATGTGTAGGAGTGCGTAAAGAAAACCCCTTGTAGTTGTGGTTGGTAAGGAAGGGGGAAATACATACAGGAAAGGGCAGGGTAACAGGCAGAGAAATCAATCCGTGAAAGGGCTGTGTCCAGAGCAGAGGCGCATCGTGGCTACAGAGCGGAGGGGACACGCTCAGAGGACGCACCGCACGTTCTGACGGCAAATAAATACACTCACACACTGAAGTGGCAGCTCCCTACAGCATCCTTGTGCTCAGGCCAGATTTCCCTGCTGGCTGCTACTCCCAGTGCCGGCTGCGGAGAAAGGCGGGGATTGTCCCTGATAGTGGGAGCTCAGGACACACAGCTCCTTCAGTAGCAGAAATACCTCCAGCCATGCCAGTGCCAAGGGCCCTCAGACAAGACGTATGTCCCACCTCCAAGGCAGAAAGACAATGGCATTGAGGTCATACAGCTGAGCAGATGCAGATCCCCCAGCCACCAAAGCCCAGTCCGCCTCCCCCATCCGGCTGTAGTTGGGTAGGGGTGTTACACTTTCTAGCTTTGGTGGACCAGCCCTTGATCTGAGGACCTTGATCTGAGGACCAGGCTTCCCAGGAAGCTTCTCTTAGCAACACTTGAGTGCAAAACTTTGTCCAGGTCCCACTTGGGGCCACGTGCCAAGTGGGCACAAGCATTCTTGTTGATCTTCCCCAGGACTTCCAAGAAACAACAGGCCCTTCAACCCACCCATAGGTATGCCAAGCTACCGCATGCCCTGGAAAGTTCCATTGAGAACATGGCTCCTAGCAATGTCCAAATCTCAGCACAGCATGCTGGGCCCAAGTTCAGCTCACGCACAGTGTTTCTGAGTGAGGACACATGTATCCTGCAGTTCTTTCACTACAGTACACGCTAAGGAACTTGGACCACACCGTGGAGAATGTGGATCATAAACTCACTCCAATGGGAAGGGGCAGAGACAGAGCCTGCCGCCCCCAGAACTAAGAATGTAAAACTCAGCAGCTCTCTGAAGACCTTGTACACACGAGGAGGGCTGAGTTACCCAGGTTTTCTCATGAAATGTTCAATTCCTTGAGGTTGCTTATTCTGGCATTAACGGCAAAAATTTCCCTTCAGTTATGAACTGAATTTCTTGAGAAAACATCTAAAAAGGCAAAAAAGAGAGCCTGGGCTAGTCAAATGCAGAAAGTGGCTTTGTTTTAAACGCATTCATTTCCACATGAAACATAAGTAACGTCTACAAGGATAGAACGGGAAGAGGTCGGGAGATGAGGGAGCTGCCAAAACTGACATTTTTTTTTCCTCTTGGAATCACTGAAGTTAACAGGGTTTATAACTGAAGAGACTACAGGGCTGACTTTGAATAAAAGCGAAGAGCCTCTATTCTTGAAAGAGCTGATGATGAGGTCAGTGACCTTGACAAAAGACTGTTTGGAAGTGAATGTGATGTGACTGCACCTGTGAACAGCCCCTGTGCCCCACTCTGGGCAACATAACGGAGCCCTCATCACTAGGAAGAAACAGTGACTGTGAAGGCTGAGTTCTGGCCAGCCCCAGGGCACATCCCCTGGCAAGTTGAATCGGATCCCAGACTCAGACTCTCCCATGGCCCAGCTGCCTTCCCCAGGCACCTCCTCTACCCGCAGCGTGCCCCAGCCTGCCTCCCAGAGCCCAGGCCTCTCCAGGCAGCCCTGAATTCTGGAGAAAGTGGTATCTCCACTCACCCAGGAAAGAGGGATTCTGGGAAGGGTCGAGTGCTGTTCAGCAGAACATCATAAAGGAAGTTGTCAAATGGTTATAACCAATGTGTCCCCAGGGAGGAAAGGAGTCCTAGGGTTTTCCACGCCACAAGTGAACTGGTTCTCCATAAAGAGAGATTCTAAAATCCCGGCAGTGGGGGCACTGGCTGGCCCACTGCGTGTGGCAGGAGCTCTCACGTCGTCTTCCATGTAAATGCCTCATCAGCCAGGACCTGTGCCAGCCTGGTGTTGAAAGGCTCATAAAAGTCCCGCAGAATCTTCTGTGTGACCAGCCACATGGGCCCAAGGCTCCGGTCCTCCGGACGCCGTGCGTTAGAGGCAGGGCTCTTAGTCATCAAGGCCTCTTGCTTCTCACTTAAGGGTCCTGGAATGAAAGAAGATCCCTGTGAGGCAGGAGGCATGGCAGGAAGAAGGGACCCTGGCAAAGCCCCAGCTATGCTTCATGTGGAGACAGGAGTTTCCCTGAAGAAGAATGTGTTTGGGGATTACATTTCTCTGGCTGGATTCAGCCTGCAGGCATTGAGGGAAGAATGGGGATAGATCAAAAATTCTGTGGCCAGTTCTGGACACCCACCTTGGTACCCCAGCTGGTGTTTCATGAAATGCAGCCATCACTTGAGGTTGACCTTGGGGACTCACTTGTAGCAGCCCTCTGATCATGACCTCATCCCGAAGACCCACCCAATCTCAGGCCTCTTTACCCTAGGGCTTTTAAAGGGATGGGGCCCAAGTCCTCAGCCCATACACAGGACAAACCTGCCCCGTTGTCCCAGGCTTATGTGAGATGAGAACCAACCTTACCGTCCATCTTAGGAACAAACAAGCTCAATAATACAACAAAGTCAACATATGGCCAAATCAAAGAGAAGTGGGCCTGGGCCTCAGAAGGCAAAGTAGTCACAGTGCATCAAGCCACCACCTCTCCAAGAAAAAGGGGAAATGAGATCACATGAACAAAGGGTCCCTAGTCCCCATGGTGGGCAGACAGATTTCAAGAAGGATTCAATTAACAAAATTCCTATGCAGGATCATTAGACAGGGCTGTGGGAGGTATCACGTGGAAAAGAAAGCGGCTTGTTCCAACCCTCTCCAGCCCTTTGAGCAGTCCTGGGTGTCCCATCCACAAAGCCTGCTACATGCACACCTCTACCAGCGGCTGTGCCACAGCCAGTGTTGTCACCAAGTGCCTCTTGGGACTGTTGAAGCTGGAGTCTTGGGTTGAGGGCAGGCTTCCTTACCCCACCCACAGGCCTAGTAGCCAAACCAAAACCCTGCCACACAACTCTGACCCAAATACAATGGCCTGTCTGTTCCCTCTTCCAATCCTGTGTCCTCTGTTCCAGCCACCCAGACACTTTTGTGCTTCAAAGCTCAGCTCTTAGACTCTTTCCTTCATGAAGGCTTCCCTGACCCATTCTGCAGCTGGAGTCTCAAATCATCAGTGTGCACCTTTTGTGGCTATGTTAGCCTTCCCTATGCCATCCTACCTGCCGGTCAGGTGAGCTGCAGCTTCCTCCTCTGCCTTGCCTAGACCATAAGCTCCCGGGGAAGAGGGGGGTGGGAATCCACCCAGGGAGTCCCTCACCATGCTGTGCACCATGACCTATGCGCAGCTGCTGCCCCATAACAGCACTGAACAAGTCTCCCAGCTCAGCCCATTCCCAGCTCTCCAACTCTGCATCTAGCCCAGAACTCCTGGCAGAGCCACGTCCCCAGACCTCATGCTCTGTCCATCGTACCTAGGTTCAGAAACTGGAAGACCTTGTGCATGGTGTACTTGACATTGGATGCGTGATCTTCCAGGCGAAGAATGAGAAACTGGTCCTTGTTAAAAACAGTGAGCCAGTCCAGAAGGTATACGGCGTACAGCCCGACCTGCAGCCTCACCTAGGACCAAAGAAGGGCATTATTTCAGAGTAATTCCCCCCCCCCAGAGCTTGCAGTATTTCATCATAGCTCACCTCCAGAGCTCCCAGCACATGTGGCCCTCGGGGGCCAGGCTCTACCACTGTTCCCCAGCTCCCAGGTCTGTGCTGCTCATGGAGTCCCCACTCCAAGGCTGTGCTTGGTGCTTGTGACAGCCCTGCAGGTTGCTCCACACCTTCATCTCACAGGTGCAGACCAAGGTACAGGGAGGAGGTCAAGGTTTTTTTCCCCATCTTGCTGCCTCTCTGCTTCCAGGGCAGCCTCTATGCCCGGCACACACAGGCTGTGACCCATCAGCCAGAGACATCACAATGCCGACTCAGGCAAGTGGACGGCCAAGTGCCTGTGCCGCACGCACATGGGGACCATGAGGGTGGAGTCCACCCGAGTCCAGTTAGCACTGCATGGAGCCCACAGGCAGACACTCCCACCAAACTTGTCTCCTGTCCTCCTGCCCACCTGCCCTCCTGCCGGCCCCCACCCAGTGCCCTCCAGCCTGCTCCTTTCTCGTGCCACGCCGTACACTCTCATAGTGAAGACTTATTCCATGCAGAGAGTTCTGGCTTCTGCCCGTGGTTACTGGTGCTGATCTCTAGGCCCCTGGATGTCCTGCATGACAGGAATGTCTTTTGCCAGGGGTTTGGCCAACACTTTGACTATGACAGGGCTGTGGGCCATACAGTACCAGTTCTGAATGTAGGGACCGCAGATGCCAGGTCAGCCTGTGAGCAGTATGTGACTGAGCCCAGTAAAAACCAAAGGCTTGGGGTGGCAATACTCCACAAGTACTGTCCCTCCCCCTGGCCCAGAGGTGCTACCACTGTCCACCAGTCCACAGGGAGAGTGACTTGCAGCTCTGCCTTTGGGTCCCAGGTCCCTGCCCCACATGTCTCTTCCCTCAGCTGATTTTAGTCTGTACCTCTCCCTGCAATAAATTGCCAGCACAAGCACAGCAGACTTAAGTGTGCTCTGTGAGCCTTAGAAAATTACCGAACCTTAGAGTGAGTTACGGGACCCCCTCTTAACTTGCAACTGGTGTCAAAAGTGACAGCAGTCCTGGGGACTGTTCTAACTTCAAAGTTTACCTTAAACTCTTGGCAAAGTTCCAAGGAAAAAGAGCCTCTTCCCGTTCTACTGTAAGGCTCCTTCTCCAGGCTTCTCCTCATGTTCCTGCCTCAGGCGCTCAGGGACACCCCTGCCCACTCTGGTCTCTGCATTCCTTCCCTACCCTGCCACCAGCAGGAACTTTCCAAGCCAGTAACCTGGCTACAGCCAGCTCTCTATGGCATTCGGCACAGAAAGTCCTGGGTCTGGTGTAAACCTCCAGCTGAGCCCCACCCAGGCGGAGGGCTCCCGGCCACTCCACTGAGGTCTCACCTCTTCAGGCAGGCAGACACACCACTCGCCCTTCTCTGCCCAGCCTGGTCTCCAGCTCCTCAAAGGCAGGGACCACGACTTCTCCATCAGCCCACCCTGCACGAGGCCGTGTGCCCTGGGCTCAACGTGCTTCCCAGATGGCATCACTGAACATGCTGTTTGTTAGCAGTGAGATAGTGAAACACTTAGGGAACGTGGACAGACGCTAACTAGTTCCATTTCTCGCGACTCCTTTCCCATTTCGTTATTTTTCTAACAGTGTAGGAGGATGGGGAGAAAGAAAAACAATTAGAGGGAATACGTTGTCTCCAGAATTCATTAGCTGCCTCCAGCCCAGGGCTATCGCTACCTTATACACCAGCTCATAAAAAAGATCTCAAGCTAGGGAGAAACTGAGTATGTGCCAGTCTAGAGAAATAAATCGCGGATCGCCTCCGACGCCGGAAAACCACTACAGGAAATCTAATTGTTAAGCTGGCTGCCTGGGGCTTCTCTGTCCTCTCTGCTGTACAGGGTTCTCAGTTCCTCCTTGGGAAGAACAATCTGGCAGGTTTATCTCTTCCAGAGAACTTTCTAGAAGGAAAATGTCTGTGATGGGTTGGAGGTGTTTTAAAGCAGCTGTAGTCTGTTCCTGCACCTGGCTATGACACATGTTCCTCCGAAACCCGCCATGCCCATCCTGGTGTCAGCCTCCTCCATTGTCCTCAGGAGGACAGAGACCACAGCCCATGCTACAGCCGGGTCCTCCCAGCTGCTCTGGGACCAGAACGGCAGGGCCCGGAGTTAAGGCTTTCTGGCTCCCTGTCCCTCTGGACACTCCCTCTTGTCTGCCCACCCCTAGGGCCCCAACCAGTCAGGGGGTAGTGTGCTGTGTGTGCATCAGGACTACAACCACATACCACAAAGACAGAGCCCAGGCCGCCCCACTCCGAACCCCTGTTCCCTCACCTTTCCCATGTAGGACAGAGAATCAAAATAAAATAAAAAGGGTATTTAGGGCAAATGCCTATCATGTTTAAAATTAGAAGACATCAGGGTTAAGAGAAGCCTCTGAGGTTGTCATGCTAGCTGACTAGCTGAGAGTAAAATGGAGGCTGGAGAGGAGCAGTGCCTGGGACCAGGACCCGAAGCCAGGTGGACCCAGAGACGTATGCACACGGGGAACCCCAGTCCTCGCACCTCCCTGGACAGGCACCTGACTGAGTCTCTCTGTCCTCCGCAGGGGACGTCACTGGACTCCCCATAATCTGAGTTCATGCTGTGTGCCAGGTACCCTTCTGGGTGACGGTGACACTGTGGACAGACACGCCCTGGCCTCAGGGGGCTTGTAGTCTAGTGGCAGCGACAGAGCTCAACTGGTAAAGAAATAAACATCTTGCTGTGGCAGCTGTCCCTGTCACATCTGTCCTGCCCACTGTCCCTATAATCACCATCTGTGATACCTACTACGGAGAAAACCAACAGGTAGAGAACAGAAGTTCAGAGTGGAGCAGGACCTAGAGGAGGAGAAGGCCGGAGGAAGTCAGCAGCTGAGGCAGGTGCCCAGGAAAGGGAAGAGGAGGGCTGGAGGGAGCCATGGTGATTCTCCAGCCTGAGCACATATGTAGAGGGTGTGCTAATCACCGGACAGGCCCTGCCCACACAGGAGGCCTGGGGAGGGCCTGAGCAGCTGTAACTCTGACAAGTTTCCAGGGGCTGTGGCCGATGCTGGCCCAGGGACTGGGACTTGCAGGTCCTGCTGTGAGGACCCACCAAGGAGCAAGTGCTGCAGAGTAGTACAGGGCAGGCCAGCACGCACACCTGCACTCGCAGAGCAGTGACACCTACAGCAGTGTGTGCTAGGGCCCAGCAGGTCTCACAGAGCTGTCCTCCCAGTGCCGTGGCTGGGCTTCTCAGCTGGAAAGAAATCAGCTTCTCCCCCCAGAAATGAAATCCACCTCTCGGAGGGGCATTTCCGAGGGCTTCCCAAATGCCTGGCTCTTTCTCTCCAGGAACCAGAGATGGGGAAGACTAAGGGCCGAGCTGTCTCTGCCATCTCCCTTTGACCAGAGGCTCCTGTGCAGCCACTGTCTCACCTCCCTCAGCAAGACACAAAGCTGAATGGAAGAGCACAGGGAAGAGCAAACCCGGCTTGCAGGAACCACCTCCAAGGTGGCAACTCCCTAATTTCAAAAGCCATCAGATTGGAGGTTGAGCCTTGTGCCTGCCTGTTCCAAGTTTTGGGTGGGAAAGTTAACTCTGTGATCCTCAGTGTTCCCATCCAGGGGAAGGATTTCAGAGGCTCTGAGAGTAGTGAGGGTGACAGTGCCCTGGGAGAGCGTGGGACATGCCTGGAGCCCCTCTGACTGCTGGTCCAGGACCATAATGTGCAGGTCCCCGCTGAGGACCCAGCAGGAAGAGTGTGCTGCAGAGCACTGATGTACCGGGATGGGCGGAGAGGCCCAAGTTTTTAAAACCAGCAGAAGTTTTAAAAAACTTTTTATCAGAAAGTTTAAGTATACACAGGTGATAAGAATCATGATAGCACCCATGAGCTTATCACCCAAAGTTCTCAAAAGTTCACAGTTGGAGAGCTAACCAGAAGCAGGGCACAGGGACACCCTCTCCTCTCTGCAGGAGAAAGCATTAGTGTGTTCTCTACACCCACCCCTCTTCCCCAGCAGTGGCTGAAACAAAGGCAGGGGCTGAGGCTAGATGCACTAGGCAGTATAAAGTGCCTGGTGGCATACAGACTGCACATGAGTGCTAGATATGCACCCTTTCTGGAGAGAAACACAGTTTACAGCTACTAGTACTCTCTGCTCCTCAGTCAGGAGGTCTCCCCCTCCGCCTGTCCACCCAATCCAGCCAGCTTAAGCCACTCCTCTTAGGAGTCCCCTAGGCCAAACCCAAACGTTCCCTCTCAGTGCTTCTCAGACAATGGCCCCCAGAGGACACCTCACCTCTCACCGTCCTCCTCTGCTGACAGTGGCACTGCTTGACTCCTACCCACCCCCTGCCCCATCCCCCCACCTCTACCCATCAGTTTTGACAGTCACATGGGGTCATGACTAGGAGGACGTTTCAGCAGGTATAATGCAGCAAAAGCACCAAGGTGGGCTCTTCCCTGGTCCCGGGGGCACAAAGCACCAAGGTGGGAGCTCCTCCCTGGTCCCGGGGGGCACAAAGCACCAAGGTGGGCTCCTCCCTAGTCCCAGGTGCACAAAGCCACCAAGGTGGGCTCCTCCCTGGTCCCAGGTGCACAAAGCACCAAGGTGGGCTCCTCCCTGATCCCGGGGGCACAAAGCACCAAGGTGGGAGCTCCTCCCTGGTCCCAGGTGCACAAAGCCACCAAGGTAGGAGCTCCTCCCTGGTCCCGGGGGCACAAAGCACCAAGGTGGGAGCTCCTCCCTGGTCCCAGGTGCACAAAGCACCAAGGTAGGAGCTCCTCCCTGGTCCCGGGGGCACAAAGCACCAAGGTGGGCACTCTTCCCTGGTCCTGGGTGCACAAAGCCACCATCCTGTCACAGCCCCATCCTGCCCCTTCTCCCTCAGGCAAGGGCCTGCCACCTGGGATGGATGGCAGCAGCCACCCAAGACCAGATTGTCAGCAAAATGCTGGGGCCAACACAGGCCTAGGGAAAGCCAGTCATGAGGCCCAAATCTGGGCCCTGGATCCTGTCTACTGGCTGATGCCTGTGAAGGCTGCTTTTCCAAGCCTCAGTTTCCCCATCTGTAACTGGGATTCCCCCAGATACAGGAGGGCTGCACGAAGGCATGAGCCAAGTTGGCCCTCCATGGGCAGGCTCCACACAGGGCCCCTAGCCTGTCTCCCAGGAGGCCCCTGGCAGAGGGGCGAGGACAGTGGGTGGGGGGAACATTCCCATCTGCAGCCATCTCCTTGCTGTCTTCTCTCAGTCAAAGGCACTGGCCTCAGACACGCCTCACAGGCCCTTCTTCCCCCAAATGAGCCCTGGGTGATGCCTGGACCATACTCTCCTTTGCTCCCTCCTGGATCTTCCTCGGATATGTCCTCAAAGATTCAGCCCTGGAGGAGGCCTATACCCCCTCAATTCCAGGCAAAAAATCCTCAGCACAGTTTCCCCCACTAAGTAGATAAGGTCCTCATCAGTTCTTTGGATTTGCCCAGAGACATTCTCCTGATGAAGCTACCACCCTCTGTTGTCCAGGACTTTAGATGACACCACGTAATGGTGCTCAGGTATGTCCCTCCCTTGCCTATGTGTATCAATACCAGCTGAGGACATGACAGTGCCAGTGCCAACCAAAGAAGCAGCCTCAGGGGCAGGAATTCTGGCCAGTGCTGTTGCCCTTAATGACACTCTCAGGTGGCTCTGGGCCACAATCACAGGGGCACAAGAACCTCAGGGGAAGTGTATTTTTGTGTGTGCGGCCAGCACAGCCCGGTAGCCTGGCCTTGTGACCAGCTGGGGCTTCTTCCCCCCACCCCCAGCAGGAACAAGTCAGGTGGGGCCTGAGAACAGTCAGGCAGCTCACCTGCCTGTGAAGTGGAGTCCTGAACGGTAGTCACAGGGCTGGGTGGGCACTGGTGCAGAGGAGGAAAGGACCCCTGGGATTGTGAATTCTCCCAGCACTGAACATGAGCTGTGCACAAAGTGGGCACCAGTGTATGCTGAAGGACACGAATCCAGTCTCAACCGGGACTCAGGCCAGTCCCTGTCTCCTGCCACGCTGACATTCTTCCTCCCTCCCGCAGGCCCCACATGGGTGACACTCCACCACCAGCACAAACTGTGACATGAGCCAGGACAAAGAGCAGGGACAGAAAGGCCCACACAGCACACAAGGCAGAGGACATGCACATACGTCTGGGTCCCCTTTCACCCTGCCCAGTCCATCCACAGTCCTTCCCCTCTTCTTCCATGCTGTTTCCAGAAAGCTCCCGGCTCTCCTCCCTCTGCCACTACTCTCTCTCCCCACCTCTCACCACATCTCCCCCCCACCTCATCCTGTCTCTGCCTGGCTCCCACCCCCCAGCCAGCTGCACCAGGTGACTTTGTAAAGTACAGACCTGCCATAATTTGATGGGGTTCAGGACACGCCCTCAAAGGTGGTACTTTGGCATTCAAGAAAGCAGCAGAAGCAGGAAGGTCACTCTTACCTCCCGCTGCCCCAGAGGTAGACAGGAAACCCCACTGGAGATGAGCCCTCCCTATACCTGGAGGAGGGAGTCCTGATCCCTGAAGGACACAGAGAGGAATCTGAGCAGCCCGGCTCCATCCCCAGCGTACAGCCATTAAATCACACCATCCAATCACACCTCTCTGCATGGCTGTCCTCATCATCAAAACTAAGCCTGAGGCCAGGCACAGGGGTTCATGCCTGTAATCCCAGCACTTTGGAAGGCCGAGGCAAGTGGACTGCCCTGAGTTCACAGGTTCAAGACCAGCCTGAGCAAGAGCAAGACCTCATCTCTACAAAAAAAGCCAGGTGTTGTGGAGGACACCTATAGTCCCAGCTACTTGGGAGGCTGAGACAAGAGAATCACTTTAGCCCAAGAGTTTGAGGTGGCTGTGAGCTATGATATCACAGCACTCTACGGAAGGTGACAAAGTGAGACTCTGTCTACCAAAAAAAACAAAACAAAACAAAAAACAAAACTAAGTCTGGATATGCACCGGTTTCCCTGTTTCTTCAGGTTTTCACTACCTTGCGAAGGTTCCCTGCTGTGTAAAACTTATATTGAATAAATGTGTATGTTTTTCTTATCAATGTTTTTTATTATGCATCCCTCGACTGTAAACTAGCAATGGGCGAGAAAAGTTATTTCTTTTCAACCTCTACACTAGCTTCTGCTAAGCCCTCCTGTGGGTCCCATTTGTCTCATGATGAGGTACAGATTCAACTGAGGCTCACCATGACCCAGGTGATGCAGCCCCACCTGCCAGGCACCCAAGCACCTCTCTCGGGGCCTACCTCCTACACCACACACTCGCCAGCCTCTGTGTGGCAGCTGCTCCCGGTAGTGGCCACTCAGCCTCTGCACTAGCTGCTGTCATTCTCTGACCAACTCATCCTTTAGAGCCCAGCAGATATCCCCCTTCCGGGAACCCACCTGATGCCCTGTTCTCAGGCAACCTCTGCTGGGGGCCAAGCTCCCTGCCCAGCCTCCATCCCTCTCCCCACTGGCTGTTCAGGAGGGCAAGGGCCACACTCACCAGGCAGTGCTGCGGCCCCAGGTCCCAGGAGCACACACAGAACATAGTGGGTTAGATGAATATGGGGATGCATGACAGAACCATCAGCCTCTCCCCCTTCTACCAGCATGGCACAGCAGCAGTACTGCCCGGTTTATAACAAAGCAACTGAGTCTCAGAGGGGCCAAGTACCCAGACTCACACAGCCAGTAAATGCCCCAGCTGGGAACTGAACCCACACGACTCTGGATCCAAAGCCTTCTCCTATCAAGTACCACACCCTGGTTCTGCAAGTATCTGTGTCCCTGTCACACCTTCCTTGCCAAACTACAAAGTCCAGCAGGTCAGCCCTAAATCCCACCTGCTGCTTCTCTGCCTTCCAGACACCATGGCCTTGATAATAAGAGGGAGCAAAGCCCCCTGACCTAAGTCCCACCACCTCCGGGGTTCTGGGCCTATGCAACAGCTCTGTTCACGCCTTGCCGCGTAAAAGTGGATCAAAGCAGGCCTGTAAGGCCACACTCTGGGGCAAGCAGCAGCATCAGCTTTGCTGCAGAATGAGAAGGGTCAGCAGCAGGAGCCCTGGAGGTGACCCCCTGAGCACATCCCGGGAGCCCAGTGCCTAGGAAACCACCCCACCCCCCACCAAAGGGGCTGAATTCACCATTAATTATTTGCATTTAAAAAGGCTAGGAATTTACAGATATAATCCTAAAGGGAAAACATAGAGGAAACAACAGAAAATGTTTTTTAATTGAGACCCTGTTAAAGAAGCATTGAAAGTCCCTGGTAAGTAATATTTTAAACCAATAAATAACACTCCACCACTGCTAGAGAGAATGCTCCTCAGACAATCTGAGAGTCGTGTCCTCCTGCCTGCCCATACTAATTGCTGGGTGTGCATTAAGAGCCTCACTAAGCAGTAATCTCCCTAAATGCACCCTCATTCTCCTGCTGAGAGAGAGAGAGAGAGAGAGGAGAGAGGTGGGGGGTGACCAGCAGGGAAGAAGGCAGGAAGCCAGCCTAAGAACCGGCAGTTCGCAGTTTTTACATCCATGAATAATGGGGAACAGCATTTGCACATTAAAATGCTTCTCTTCCTTCTATGCTAAAGCCCCCTCCCACAATGCCGCTGGCATAATCACACACTTGGCGGTACTCACGGGCATGGCATTGTTGAGAGTGTTGTTGTAGACACAGGCGCGCAGGGAATAATCCAGCATGCAGTTTTCAAACAGCTGCAGCGCTTCCGTCACTTTCTCATGGAAGTCATCTGCAGACTTATTGGAACTTGCAAAGTAGAGATAGTCTGAATACAACCTGTGAATAAAATAAATGGGTATTTTTACCACCCACGAATGTGCAATCACACCATTTGGATGACAATGAAAATCGATGCACGATGACATTATCTAGTTCTGCTCCTTAAAGCGCCATTTCTCTTCCTTCCCCGGCAGGTGAGCCCTGGCCCTGCTTCGCTCTGCAGTCCTGCCCTTCACTGGCCTCCCACACTCTCCGGGACTCAGACACGTCCATGCAGGCCCCAAACAAACCACCAGCAGTTTTGATGTTGTTGCTCATCATCTCAGGCGCTGGCTCCGTGTTCCCAGCACAGTGAGCCTCAAAACCACACCAGATTACAGAAACTGTACGACAGCGAAGAGAGGCCATGAAAATTTGATGTCTTCCTGCTCCTCTCTCCTCTATGGGAGGAACAAAAACAAGAGCATCTGTTGCTCCTGCAGTACGATAATTCCACATAAAATCCTGGCCCTTTTCACAGACATTCCTGATGTTTTAAAAACATTATGAAATGTGTCTTTCTAGATTGGTAGGGACATACTTTTTAATACAGTGTAAAAGCATCTACACGTACGCATGTTAACACCTGCAGACTTAGTGTTTCCCACCGACACAGATCTGTTCACATAGGCGCCACCCAGAGGGATGTGAGAACACTGTCGTCTGGGACTTGACAATCCTCCTTGACAAAACTCCAGCAAGCTCCTCTACATCCTCTTCCCTGCTAGGTCTGGACTTTTGGACTTCCGTATCATCTTTGCATCACCCGTTTTAGCACAAATCCTGCTAGTAAGTAAAGTGCATGGGAAGCTACTGCTCTTGAGTGAGCTCCTGCACCAGGCCCCAACAGACCAGGCCAGGCCAGAACAGGGTCACTGGTGCTAGGCGCCACACCAGTTTTCAAAAAAAAGGACATTTACAGCAATTAGTCAGAAGGGACCAGTCAACCTGAGCTGGCATGAGAAAGAAGTCGCCTCTGCTTCAGTCCAGTAAGGACAGCCATTCTGAAATGACCGGTCCATGCTTTTCCCTGTTTCTGCTGCTTCAGCCCTTTCCTGCCTCTGTGGTCCACCTCCTCAGCTCGGCAGCAGGAATACTAGGAATACGTTTCTATTACAAGAACAGGGTGTTGTCCCACTCTCAAACTGTGCTAATAAAAACCTAATTAGGACTTTACATTTGTTAGAATTTGCACTGCAAAGGTGGGTTAGCCAGAATCCTCCACCCTTGACAACTAAGCACGCTCCACATGGGATGGAGTTTCTCACTGTCCACCATCCCCAGGTGACGTCTGGCCGCCTGGCCTGTCTTCAGCAAGAGTCCCACTAAGTCAGTTTAGCCAAAATCCTCCCCCGTCAACTTACTTGAGGTTTCCCCTTAGTAATTTTCCATCCTCGGCCCGTCACCCTGCTCTTCCTTCTCCAGGTTGTACTGGGATTGAGCCCAATCCCTCTCCCCTGCCGCATGCTCCATCACAACAGTCCTTATTCATTAAGGGGCTGCGGTAGTGATTTTTCTTTAACAGACCTTCCCAGTTGTGGGTTTCCTATTCTTTTTCCTCCATTTCTTTCTGCAGACAGGGTATTTCTTTTGTTTGGTTTTCAAACGCCACCACAACCCCCACCGTGTGATCTTTTAGCTATTTCTCCCTACTCCCTCTTCCTGCACAAACACCTGCTTGTGACCCCACAGCTGTGTCGGCGGCATCCTCCCACACTCACAGCCCCCAGCTGCCTCACCTGCACCTCCGAACGGGGCTCATGGAAGTCACGGCCCTGCGGTCCCTCCTCGCAGCTCTGTCCTTCCTGCTCCCTCCCCTTCCCCTGCCTGAGCTCCTTCCCCTTCCCAGTGAAGGCACTCTGTGCATCTTATTACCACTTATCTAAGGATCTCACATCTCTAAGATCGGCCACTTGCCTCCAGTGCTCGGTCCCCAGGACTCAGCCACACAGTCCTATAGAAACTGTGTCCTTTATTGCCCAGGGCCACTGTAAATGCTCCTTTTCCACTGCCCTCCCCTCTAACCACAGTCACAATACCAGGAGCCCCCCTTCTTAGGCACAGGACAGTATCTTATCCACCTCACCAACTAAAGACAGAGGCAGAGCCCAGAGTGATGCATCCACCAGCCAAGGAAACTGCTGGAAGCTGCCGGAAGCAGGGACAGAGGCCTGGGACAGAGTCACCCTCGGGGCCAGCAGAGGGAAGCAGCAACCCTGCACATACCTTGACTTTTGGCCTCCAGAATAAATTTCTATTACTTAAGCAGTTTATAGTCATTGATCACAGTAGTCCTAGGAACCAATACAGATTCTTTTTTTTTTTTTTTTTTTTTTTTTGAGACAGAGCC